AAACTTTTATGAAGCAGTCCGTACCAAACTTTGATATGTCTTCTACCTTGATGTCCACTTGGAACTGCTGATGGAGCGCATCTCTTATGCTCTGATGGCCAATTGGCATCCGTGGCTGAGAGTGGAAGCTTTGCTATTACTACAATGTCAAAGACATTTGGTTCCTTGCTGTGGAGTTGTGTCTCGTCGATTCTTGTGAGGTTTGGCTAACGGTAGTTGGCCATCTTTTCGATGGTGTCCTGTATATTTTTCAACTGGAGTAAAGGATTAATCTCAGGTGCAAGTAAGCTGATGGATAAATGAAATTATGGTAATGCACACGAATTAGTTACGACCATAGAATAAAAATTTGCTAAAGTAAGTATACCTATAAACAATGGGGATGTGGACGATCTCCCCGGGCGTGGTGCGCAGGGCGCCGGCCGCCGCGGATCCGCTGGCGCCGCCACCCTGCCCGGCCGCAGCGCTAGGGTTTCATGGACTATAGCAGCAGGCGCAGCACGACGAGGCTCCCCGGCGGGAGGAGGCGCTGAGGATGGGGGAGAGGGAGGAGGCAGGTGAGGGAGGGCGGCGGAGGAGGAGGAGGGCGGCCGCAGCCGCCGTGCCTCGGTCGCGCGAGCCGCCGTCGGCCTGTCCGTGTCGGGAGACGGAGGCGAGGGAGAGAGAGAGAGCGAGGAGGAGAGAGGAGGGGGCGAGAAGCAGGAAAAGGAGAAGCGGAAGCTGGTTCTATATATATATACTCCTCTGGATTCTGATGAGAAGCAGGGGAAAGCGGAGGAGAAGCAAGAGAAGCTGGAGAAAACAACGAGAAGATGGAGGAAACGACAAGAAGCCGCTGAGGCCGAGAAGCGGCTCCAAAGAATGGTGGCCACAGGATGGAAGATTGAACGGCTGTCACAATTAGGGGTGACGTGGGCAGTGTTTCCTTGGAGGAGCTCTATGGGTTATCTAGGGGAGAAAGAGAAAGGTAGAGAGCACGCGGAGGTTGCAGATGGAGAATTATAGATTTTATATGTGTGAATATTTTTCATTCCAGTCCAGGGGCAAATCTAGGGTCAGATGACTGCGACGACTTCATGCAAAATACATTACCACACTGCTATTTCATAGAGAAAAAATGTCATATAAAAGCATGGTTACTGTTTGCCCCTTTCCGGTCTAATTCAAACTGTTATGTAAGTCTCATTTTCTTGTTTCTTTCTAATCCAAACTTTGAACTTCTCAAGTACAAACTTCATAAAGGCATACAATTATATTATCTCTAGGTATGACTCCACTTCTCTTCCATCCATGATCCGAGTAGTCAAAAAGGCCGTTGGTTCATCGTCATCCAATGACCATCGTCTCTACTGTGACTCCATTTCATTTCCCCCATGCCACGTGCCAACAGTCTCATCCCTCGGCTGCCTCTAGAGTCTAGCCGGGCAAAATTTTGTGACCGTTGAGATTGCTAATTGATCGGTAAAAAGCCACGAGTGTTATCACTACTACATTATATAAATGGTTTTTTACAATCGTTTTCTATTTTTCCCAAGATGGTTACTATATTTTTCCCAAGATGGTTGTATTTCTATAAAGTCAACCGCTCCTAAAATTATGTGCCGAACAAATAAATTCATATACTTTCTTCAAATGAAGTTGATTGAAGATAAACTTTATCTCAAAATTGTAGAGCTCGATGCTAAAACTTTGTGGTTGATGATTTTTTTATTTAAGATAGTTTAGGGCCTAAATTTACATTTTAATAAGTTCTCAAAATTGAAATTTAATTTTCAAAATTTTTAACAACTTCGGAAGACATATCCTATAGCAAAGTTGTAGCTCTATCTAAACTTTATAGCTGAAACTTTTTTGAGACCTTTGGGGCCAAAATATTCAATACAAGTTTCATAGGAGTTAATAATTCAAAAGGATAGCATCTTAAAATTGGTTACAAGACGTGAGTGTATGCGTTGTACTATGTAACAAAAAAAAGATTACAAGATTGTATGGCGTGGTAGTAATAAGAGGGCCTCACATGAGGCAAGAGGTCATGAGATTGAATCCTCATGGACACACTTTTGCTAATATATATAAAAAATAATACTTGAGGCTTGCGACACTATGACCATTCTGATGCTCCTCGCTCTATTTTTTTTCTAATTTCTTTAATGCAGTTTATTAGCTTTTGTAATTTTTAAAATGTTTCTAAAGGCAACTGACTTAGTCATAATAAATGTGCCACTGACAATTGACTTTTATGGGGGCGTGGTAGATGTTTAAAAACTGCCTCTAAAATCAATTTTGATCGCTCTCTGCTTCATCCGCTTAGCTTATCAAATTTGTACTTTTTAGCGAAGGAACAATGTTTTTCTCTTACAACAAATCAGCGAATAGTACTTTTCAGTCTGGCTTTTCAGCAAAGCAAATCGGATCAAGTGTAACCATTTTTTGTTGGCATAAAAGTATTTGCTTTAAATGTTGTCCTTATTCTAAAAAATTAAGTAAACGGCTCTTGGAATACCTTATTCAAGCAACTAGGGTAGAGGGTTCATTTTGCCTGACTAGATATGTTAGTGGTTCTCTCTTTTTTTCAAAAGAAAACGCACAAGTGAGAAACTTAGGATAGATACCAATAATAGCCATCTACTGTGGTGAGCTCGAGGCCTCTAGCTGTAATACAATAGTGCCAAGTTCAACTAATGTTTTTTTTAATCAAGTTTGACTAATCTTTAGAATACTATATCTTAAAAATCTATATGAAACAGTCTAAAATTTGTAGGATTAACAATCTGTCTACGTAGAAATCTGGTCACTACGCAGGACACACGATGGTCCCGTTCGTTGGTCTGAAACTTGGCTGAAAAACACTGTTCCGGCTGAATTGTTGTGAGAGAAAAACACTGTTCCGGCTGAAAAAAGAAGCCGAACAAGCCATTTTTAAGACAAGCGAACGGGGCCGATAAGTCTAGAAGATCCGCTTAACTTCAGTGTAGGTCCCGTCGAGCATGCCAGTCAATTTGACCCGTAATGACAATGGAAAAGATAATTAATAATTTAAAGTGAAACGTGTCAGCTTTTGATCCAGACAGTTTCATGATCGGCTAAAGAGCTGATAAAATAAGGCTATTGGCTACTGAACCGATATCCAGTAGATTGATGGTGTAAAACCGTTTAAATAAGCTTCTTCGGCTAAAATAGAGCATACTCATATATAAACAATATAAATCATAGAGCCGATGAATATGAAACAGGATAGATCATGAAAAGCACAGGCCATCGGCTACCAAGCCGATGAAGCACAATCCTTTGCTTTCCATATAAAGAAATCTATAAATTAACCAGATGTAATCTATTATCACTATCAATCGGATCAGAGACAACGTTGGTAGTAAGACGATGAATTTAAACTAGTAACCCAATAGATCTATTTATAGCTAAACAAAGCCTTGAGCACTATGATTGACTAAGATTAAGATACACCAGCTGAAATAGTTGAATCTGACGTCAGAATAGAGATTAACGAGGTAAACAACAAGACGACAGATTAAGAGCCGATGGATCTTAATCTAGTCAGATAAATTGGTGATTTTACTAAATCTAGTAAAAGATCATAAGGTGCAACTTTACTAAACATAGTAGGATCGATAACTGGTGATTCTATTAAATATAGCAAGAGATCATAAGATGCAGCCTCACTAAACGTAATAAAATCGATAACCGGTGATTTAATACCAAATCAAGCAAGAGATCAAAAGATGCAGACTTACTAGATTAGATACAAATCGTGACTAATACCAAACCAAGCAAGAGATCGAACGATGCAGCCTTACTAGATTAGATACAAGTCGTGATGGTACTTATAAGCAAACCGGAGATCAAAATCGATGCATCTCTGCCTACTGAAGAACTCGCCGAGATCTACTTTACTATTATTCCTAATGTAATGGTGTGAAAGCCGAAAAAATTGTGTATCGATGTCTGATTGTCCGTTTAAGGGTTTATTTTTATACCCTGTGCCAACATAGAGTCCTAATCCAATAAGACTAAACAATTCTTGTGCAAAAAGAAAGCGATCTAATTTACATAAATTGGACTCCAAAATTCCCTTTCTGGCAGAATCCGAGTTGATTACGCCTAGGCCGATGCTGCCAATGCCGTGGCTTTCCAAATCGGCAGAGTCCGATCACTTGATCCCTTCACGCTTGAGCCGGTACCGCTGACTGTGCTTCCCACGGCTCATTCCAATTTTTTTTGTGTAAACACAATCTATCCAGTGCAATTCATTACAACTAAACTAATATTGATTCATAAAAGCAAATCATCGAGAATTGGTCCAACACATCTATAAATGAGTCTTGTAGAAAATGTCTATATCATTCTTGATGCTACATCTAGCATGTTATGTTATTTAATTCACTATATTTCTATATCTATAATAATATATCTATCATTCTTAACAAGAAACAAAGCACCACTATGCAATGTTTCAAAATTAAAAGATGTATTATGTAAATGCATCTATATATATGAATGTGTTTCTATGTGAACGTCTCTACTAGACATGCTTAAAAAGTTCATCTTTACACACCCTGACATTATTCTTGTGGATACATTCATAACAAGCTTTATAAAATAGATTCTACAATCTTCTAAAAATCAAATGAAGTAGCACAACTGTCTAGTCAGCCGCCATTGACAAGGCAAGCAATGAAACTAATCAGGATATATCAATAAAAATATAGAAAGCGTACCCAAAGCCTACAAACAATTAAACACTAATAATTGCTAAGGAAATAAGCATCTAGGATCACAACTTAACATCAGCTCATACTCTACAGTAAAAACTGCAACAAATTTCTTATAAAGGATCACAAAGTATCAAGGAGTTCACAACCACTAGCCAAATGGAAACAACCTTGGGTGCATTTGGCATCTATAGAATTGGTCTGATAGGATTGTGTATCCATCTTAATTATGTCCAATCCTATCGTTGAAGCACTCAGGGCACTCATAGTGCTTTATGCGGTTTGCTTTTTGGCTGTAATCTTCACACATTTTCCATGGTACCACTGGTTGCAAATATCACAACAGATCCAGAATGCACTTGTATGGTAGTGGCCATCACAAACTGAACATACGACCGGATCACTTAGAGCTTCATCCTCACTCTCAGGCTCGTAGTTCTTTTCAATAACTGGCCCACATAGCTTTGCCTAATGAAATGAGAAATCAATCTATGTTAATTTTAGTACAAATAGATCGGTTTGCATATTTCGTACTTTGATCAGTAGCAATGTACCTTTTCTTCTAGATGGCATATGCGGTGATAGGTTTCACTGGCAAGGAATGTTTCGTGTACTGTTGGAAAGCTATTAATCATATTGAACAAGTCCTCCCTGCCAGACAATGAGCAAATCATTAACTTATAAATAATGCTTTAGCTGAAATTTTGAAACAAATTTGACATCAAAAGCATGGAGAAACTTTGGCAATTATACATTCTTCGTAAAGTATACCAATAAATTTAATACAAAATCATCAGGAAAAGGCCACTAATCCAATATGAGCAAACAACCTCGGGTATGATGCAAAATAAAGGAATAAATAACAATAGTGTTTTGAAGCAACAAAATAATCGGTTAAACTTAACCAATTTGCATTTCAGTATGATGGTTTGGTTTTCGAAGTAAATAAAATATGATGATCAAGAGAAGATACATGTATTTTCACAAGACAAATGCTTTGTCCAATCAAGTATTGATGAAATTATCATTATGCATCATTGATGTGTATTAGATCTTCTCACAAACATGTCGCCGTTGGCTAGGAGAGGCAACATTGGAATGTAATGTACATGATCTAAAGTGATGAGCATGGAAAAGTACTTGCCATATCCTGGTAGGCTTCATTCCTTTGGTTTAATATAGTATAAATAAATGGCTTATGTCCTAATTTAAAAGTCAGACCTCCATTGCAAATATTTTCACACAATACAACTAGCACTACATCCAACAACATTTTTTTAATCTTTTTGATAAAATAGCACAGTTTAAACTCTTATACACATTGGAGAACCAAAAGGATAGTTTGTATTGATGGTGCAAAGTTGAGGATGAGAATGATTTTTCTGCTAAAATGCAAATAATTTATGTCATAGTGTCGGGTTCATAAACCTAGGGTCTCTAATGGACCTGCTTCCCGCAGAAAAGCTCGCCCAATGCATTTGACGCGTTGTAACGACGCAACTCCCGGTCGGCCCAAAACCTAACGACAGCCGGAAGGCGATCCAGGGCCTCCGGCCAAGGCTCGCCAAGGAGGAACAACGCCGCTTCGCTTCCGACCTCGGCCTGCCTCTCCCACCGGAAGGCCTGGCCCAGGAGGAACGACGCTCGCTTCCGACCCCGCCCGCTCTCTCAACCCGAAGGCTCGCCCAGGAGGAACGACGCTCGCTTCCGACTTCGGCCTGCTTCTCCAACCAGAAGGCCTGGCCAAGGAGGAACAACGCTCGCTTTCCGACCCTGGCCCGCCTCTCCGACCGGAAGGCTTGGCCAAGCGCCGCTTCTGACTCCGACCCGCCTCTTCGACCGGGACGCACCAACCTATGCCTCACAGCTCCTCCGACCAAAGATCTTGTGTGAGCTGACCGGGACGAACCAACTAGGGGCGCCCGCTTGGTAAGGACCCGGAAACGCAAGCGAGCAAGTAAGGCGTAGGCGCCAAGACAACTACAATATCGAGGACCGTACCACACACCGCAGGATAAGATGCAAATAGGATATGTCAGAAGGGTGCTCTAGAACCTTCCGGACATGTCAGAACCCTAATAGTGTTGAGGGCGCCGACATTTGCTCTACAGTGTTGCATGCGCCATCAATTCCCATACCAGGCAAACGCGGTAAGGCCTCCCACATGCATATGGCATCCACAGTGTTGTGGGCGCCGGCATTTACCATACCTGGTGACCACGGTGAAAACCTCCCACATGCGTTTGACATAAATAGTATTGTGTGCGCCTACCATCATCTTGTACCCGACGGCGTGGGCAACAAGATTAGTAGTACACACACACACTCTCTCTCTCTCTCTCTCACACACACACACACACTTGTAAGGCCGTCCCCTTCATCTATAAAAGGGGATGCGCTCTCTCCAAAAGAAGAACGATTGATCTCAGACGATTCGAACAACAACAACAGACGGATCACTCAGATTCTCTCTCTGCTAGCTTTAGACACTCTAAAGCTACATAGAGCACACGCTCGAATACTCAACGCACGTAGGAGCTCCTGTCACTCTTGGTCCTTCAGACCGGACCTCTTGCACCGCCCATCTTACTCCTCGTCTGTAACTCCACTGTAAACTTTAAGCACCTGGGCTCAGGAATAAAGTCACCGACCTACTCAAACTGGACGTATGGCACGTTGCCTGAACCAGTATAAACCCTGTGTCATTGAGTGTTAGGCCACCTCCGATCACAACGTATGACAAAACTATAAATATTTACTTGGTCACTTTCTGCACCGACACATAGGTAAATTATAAATAACCAAGCACAAAACTGGACTAGTGTCTAGCTAACTAGAACAGCTCTTGTCAGCTAGACACTAGTAGAACTGAAGTCATAACAAAAACTTTACCCATAAAGAAGACAAGTTGAAATCTAACTTTAATATGTTTTTCTTAGTTTAGCTCACCACTATTAATTTATATGTTTGTTTTAGTGTATATATACTTTTAAATATTACACTTACAATGGCTCAGAGTTGTTAAGATTATCCCTAAGTGCTACATTTCAAAACTACAGTGTTACAATTAAATAATGTGCACATGTAGTGAACAAGCAAGAATTGCTTGTTAAGAGAAATATACCAATCCAAGTATCTAATTACTTTTCGATGCTTTGTTTCACTTGTGGAGTTGTGGTATATGAAATTGATCTGATGTGTAAAATATGGAAAAGCTTAATGTGCCAAACTTCACCTATATTGTAACTTTTCTAGTAACAAACATATTTTAAATCATGCCAAAAGCATCAATTCTATGTAAAAAGAAGACAGAGAGGTTGTGGTAAACAACTATCACATAGTTGATTACTTGAGTTCGAAATAAAATCAAACGAAGATTGAATTTCCTTCATAATAATAAAATATAAGTGACAAGGCTAAACTATTTTCATGTATGCATAGTTAATCACTATATAACTAATGAACACCACATGGGTAAAAAGAAAAAAAACTTTAAAATCCTTAGAAGGAAAAACAATGAAGCACACACAAGTACCGTTCTTTAGCTTTCATATGTTGGCTGAGGGAGAAGGAGATGTTGATGAGCCATGCGTCACCATGCATGGCAATGTGTTCCAGCCATTTGATGTGTTTCAAATTCCCTCTCACTAGGTTGATACCATGTAGTTCATTAGGCTTCGATTGTCGCAACTCCCAACTCCCATCAATGTTGCCATATAGGTACAGCGAGTGTGCACCTACACCAAACACAAAATTGTTTCTATTCACTTGGTCACAACATTCACATTGTGAGTCAATAAAAGATCAAACATTGACTCATATTGATCACACCATGACTCACCTTGGTCATGCTTACCAAAGAATCCCTCCTCTTCCGTATGGTTGTACAAAGGGAGAGCTAAGATTTTTCGGGGTGAACAACATTAGAATATAGAGTATCATAATGAAATGTTATATTTGCAATATATTCATAGATGAACCAACATATCTAAGTTATTTTCATTGTTATCTCTTTAAGTTTTATGAAAAAAGTATAAACTCATAATCCATCCAAGCAACCAAAAAAATATTGCTACTCCATGCATGTTCTTATTTGTCTTCCTCTTCATAAAGGGCACCTTTAAATACTAACAAAAAAAATTAATGCCACCAAAGAAAGATCATATACTACCAATTTACAAATAAAAAAGTTTATCGTCCGTGAATGAAAGAAATAACATGAGGTTCTTGTTTTTTATTTCAGTATTTAATTTCCATATATATCATCTAGGAAAAAAATTATTCAAAGGGAAAGCATTCAAATTGTCAAACCAGAATGATTATATTAGCGCTATCATACACATAGTAAGGTGTTAACTTCTGCTTCTAATCAGTGAATTTTCATAGTAGTTGAGATCTTAAATGAATCCCTCTCTCGGAATTGAACAAGCTACCTAGATATAAATATTTCATTGGATCCATGGGCTTGGGATGACACAATGTGGCTAGCTATTTACTAGTGATAAATTACCTTTGGTGACGGCACGGATGAGACCGAGACGACGATAAGTGAAATCCAAAATGATTTTCCCTGCAGTGTACGATGGTGTTGACCCAGCTAACGGAGAGAGTGTCCGTGGCAACATCTGCGCCCCCTCCATGGGCATCTCTGTAGCTAGCTGGCTCCGCACCGGTAATGAGCGGATGCAGGTAATAACCAACGAATGCGAGTGAATCCATGGAGGATTGAAGAAAAATCACCAGGTAGCTTTAGATCTGAGAGACGGAGCAGAGGGAGAAAGCGGGACGAATGAGACTACTAAGCCTTGTTTGGCATGTTTTATAATCACACGATGTCATTGAGAGAAGGGTAGGGATATGATCCTTAGAGGATAAAGGGCCCACCTTTTTCGGCCTTGGTTGGGACCAATTATTGCATTCTACGTGAAGGGGATGAGATATTAAGGGCGTGTTTGATTTCGTTGACGTGTCCTGATTGGCCCACCATCTAGCCCTAGGCCAGCCACGACCTGGTCCAGAGAGCACAAGTGCGCGTGTTTGATATGTTACACTAGAACAGGCAGGCCCAACTGGTCCTGTGTTTGATTTGAACTAGGCAGCTAGGCCCATGACCAACTAACTCCAACTACCAGTTGGAGATTTTGTTTAATGCTAGCCTGGATCGGCATGTCCTAGGAACCAACAAGATATACATCACAAGGAACAAGTCATTTGCAAATGAACCAATAGAGCTTCGTTAACACAAATGGTGTCCAAACACAGACTTACAACAATATGAAGTACATATTAGTGACAAGCAAGTGGCCTAATCCTTCTAAGCCTAGTGATAAAAAAAGAAAGCATCACCACAACCATGGCTGCCGCTTGTTTGGCCATCAACTGATGGTGTGCAGGGGGATCCATCTACATGCATTCAACATTCAAAGACAAAACTCAGTTCTAGTACACCCTAACTAGCCTGAACATGCATGAGTAAGCATTCCACAAAAAAGGTAGCACGACTGCATAGGAAAAATGACTCTAGTGCGTTGGACATATTCATCATCGACTGTAACAGTACATAAAACAAACTAAACACATGAGCATACGCATCGATCTGTTCCAAAGAACCAGCCTTAACAGAAACAACAACATCATCGACCTCAACTCAAGAAATGCAAAAACATAATGAAAATAACCATGACATTCATCATTTCCACATGCGCATCAAAACCCTAGGGACAAACAAAACCCTAACATCGCCAGAGTGAGGGAATGGGGGTCAATTTCACCTCGGGGTGCTCGTCGGAGACTTGGAGGTGTGCAAGACGGAGAAGAAGAAGAGTCACTGGTGAAGAGGTAGCAGATCTGGAAGGAGAGGAAGCAGATCCGCCACCACCAACACCAGCTGCAGCACCGGAGACGAAGAAGACAAAGGAGGAAGACGACCGCCTCCACGGAGCCCGCAGGAGAGGAGCGGCGACGCGGTGAAGCTGATTCGAAGTGGGGGAATAGAGATGAAGTCTAGGGACGCATGCCACCACAGCGACGGCCACCACCTCGCCAAATCCGTCGATCACTCAACAGGATTGTGGTGGAGAACGAGAGGGAGGAGGACGATAAAGGGAGTAGAACACGACATCGCGAGGGAAGGAGCAGGTTATAAAGACGGTGCCACGGGGGAGGGAGGGAGCGCACGCCGCGCGAGCCAGACGCCGCCGCCGAAAATCTCCCAAGAGGAGACGGAGAGAGCCGAGCCCGGGAGAAACAAAACCTAATTTTGTTTCCCGTATGCAGGAGAGAGAGAGAGATTTGCATGGGCACAACCAAGCTAAGAGGGGGCCAAAGGATATCAAACACGAGCAGTAGCAGCTAGGGGCCGCAGCCAGGCCCTATGGGCCGATATCAAACACGCCCTAATGTTGGGAGTCAAGCTGGTCTCGATGTGTGAAAAGAGCATGGGTGCCAAGGTTAGTAGGATGCTTAGGCGGTTCTAGACACGGTGGTGACTGGGTGGAATATTACAACCCAAGTAATTAAACTAGACTAATCATAATGTAATTTCTTACTTTATTAGTGAAAAATAAATTAAGTTTTGTTGGTTTTCAAGAATATGAAAGGACATGTTTGTTGGTTCTTTCGTGGTAAGTACAAATAGGCAGTCTGTTTGGCATTTGTTTGCGAGGCATAGGTTTGGCAAGTGGCATTTTTGGTAGGTTTCACAAAAAAAACTCAAGGTTTTAGACTATCAAGGTAGAAATTGTAAGCGTTCAAGGCATGCCTTTGACATGATGCGTAGTGTAAAACTTCTTCTACTTACCTACTAATGCTTGTGTATCCATCAAGGAAAAAAGAACAATTGACTGATGCTTACCCGTATATAGTTCTATTTTTTCCATTATGCTGCGAAGTCCAGTAGGTTCCTAAGTTCACCATGGAAATGGTGCTATCACAGTATCGCGAGCCAGAAGATGACCGGGGAATCACTATATTTCGTGAGATTGATACAAATGAGGAGCACGCCAAGTTGTAGAAACTCGAACTTGCGTGGAACTTAAGGTTCAATGGAAACTTGGAAAGTACTAGAGAATGGAGATGTAGAGTTAGGCAATGTTTGGATTAGCAGAACAAGGCCATCATCGGCGGTGACTCTAGTTGGACACGCAGAAGTTACACAAGGCCAGCGAGCGGACATTTTGGGCCCAATAAATTACGAAACTGAGGAGAGAGAGAGAGAAAAAAAGGTGCAAAGACATATGAGTCTAAAAGAGAGACTATATGTGGGGATTTCTCCTCTATTTCGCCTATTTCCATTGGGTCTTCTTCCTAAGGAAATAGAGAAGAAGGTTCATTCTAGTTCCCTGAAGTATCAGCGTAGTCTGATTTTACTTCGAACTCCAAAACACGACATCTTATCCAATAAATTTTCAAGACCATTCAAATTAACTCATTACCTCGGTTTTGAGTTGTTTTGAAGGCGATTTTGTCCTTTTTAGCTAACAAAATTCGATAAATACTTGATGAGGTTTGTAAACCACAAAAACGTCTCTAATCTTTAAAAATCCAAAAAGTTGAGACAAAAAGTCAGTTTCTAAACAATGTAAAAATGATATTACAATTGCAACATTGTGTTTCCTATCTTATGATAAAATCTTTAAAACAAGACCCCTGCGTGGATACATTTGAATTATATTTTTTTGCTATTTTTTATCTAGATTTTTTATTTATGAAAAACGGATTTGTAGGAGCGTGCCCGTGGTTAGTGCAAGTGGGTAGGGAACTGGACGAGATCTGCTTGGTAGATAGCCAGTTTGTTACGGAGTTCATTCATGGCCCTCTTTATGGCCCGCCCTTCAAGCTTCTCCGATTCCGGCCCATAGACGCGCGCGGCTGCTCCTCGTTATGGCCCGCGACGGCCTGTCGCCTTGAAGTCTCACCTGAACTGAACCGGTTCCTGTAGCTCGTCCGACACAGACGCCCGGCCTGGTGAGGTTGCGGTCCTGACAGAGAGTTGCTAATCGGCTCAAGGAAGGGCTCTAGTCCCTTGTCATACAAAAAAACTCGTTGCATCGTCCAATCTAATCTAAAAAATAGCAAAGGGCTAGCTATATGAAACGATCTTACGAGCTCGTAATCGGATGCAAAACATACACAGCAAAGGGCCAAGTTAGCTCAGAAAAAATGCTAGGGATCACTAACGGAGACGGCTTCTTTCTTTGAGTGTCTCATACTTTGCCGAAAGTGCTTTTTATCGGTATTTGGGCAAAGAGGCTATTCTGTCGAGTGCGGAGGGAAAGCACTTGGCAAACAACTGGCACTCGGCAAATACCAGGTTTGCCGAGTGTCGGGCACTCGGCAAACCAGAACACTCGGCAAAGGGCCGCCGCCGTTAACAGCCGGCAGCCGCCATTAACCCTTTGCCGAGTGTCTTCCCCTGACACTCGGCAAAGTGGTGATTTGTCGAGTTTTATTTTTTGACACTCGACAAACTATATTTTTTTCCACTTTTGACCTTCAAACTTTTTCTGTAGTCCTCATACAATACCTGGTACTCCATGTTTCAATGTGCCATATTTCTCGGACTTTTTCTATATTTCTTTAATTTATTTCATTTAATTGAATTTTCTTTGATAATTCAAATTATAACTACTAGTCAGTCGAATAATGAAAAAAATGAATGGAAAAATGATATTCATGTTATTTAGTATAATGTGAGGCCGTATCCAGGAACATACCACTAATTTCGAACATCTTGTTCACGAAACATGACCACGAACTTGCGGTCGAGTTGTTTTTAAATTCTATAAAAAGCAAACGAAGTCCGAAAATCATGAAACTTGTCAAGATGTCATGATATCATATGTGGAGGCTGTGATAAAAATTTGAGGAGGTTTCACGCAAGTTATCACATACAATGCTTGCAAACCGAAGAATCTCCGAAGAAGTTTCATGATTTCGTGAAGAGGCCGACGAGGTGGTAAGCATCGTACGTGACAAACTTGCGCGAAACCTCCTCAATTTTTTATCACAGCCTCCACATATGATATCATGACATCTCGACAAGTTTCAAGATTTTCGGTCTTCGTTTGTTTTTTATAGAATTTAAAAACAACTCGACCACAAGTTTGTGGTCATGTTTCGTGAACAAGATGTTCGAAATTGGTGGTCTGTTCCTAGATACGACCTCACATTATACTAAATAACATGAATATCATTTTCCCATTTATTTTTTTATTATTCGAATGACTAGCAGTTATAATTTGAATTATCCAAGAAAATTCAATTAAATGAAATAAATTAAAGAAATATAGAAAAAGTCCGAGAAATGTGCCACATTGGAACATGGAGTACCAGGTATTGTATGAGGACCGCAGAAAAAGTTTGGAGGTCAAAAGTGAAAAAAATATGGTTTGCCGAGTGTCAAAAATGACACTTAAAATACAGCTTTGCCGAGTGTCGAGAAGACACTCGGCAAGAGAGAGTTGGTTTGCCGAGTGTCAAAAAACTCGGCAAGAGGGTTTGCCGAGTGTAAAAAACACTCGGCAAAGAAATAAAATCTTTTTCTAGAAAAGAAGGAGAAGAAAAAATAAAAAAAAACTTTACCGAGTGCTCGATCTAGAACACTTTCAGCAACTCGCTTTGCCGAGTGTCGATCTAGGACACTCGG